TTTGTGGGGAATCCAGGAAGGTCAGAACTCTAGGAGAAAAGACAAGAGCTTCTCCAGACAGCCCATATTTATTTGGATTTCAAATAAAGGAAGGGGATACTGAGGCAGCACAGGAACTAAGCAGGACCTTGGGAAGTTAGTTCAAAGACTTCTCCAGTAAATTTTGCCAATTAAGAGAGCTATCTTATCTCTAGGTTGACAATCACAGCAAGAGCCAAATGGCTGCAGCTGTAGTCTTTATCTTATAAACTGGGGTCACAGCCAGGTGTCCTCAACTACAACTTTGTCTTGCCCTTTGAGGCATCACAGCCAAACACACACCAAAGCAGACCTCAACTGTGACGAGCGGCATGGAGAGGTTCACTTACTGCACACCAGCTGCCACTCTCCAGGCAAGTCTCCTAGGCCTGGGACAGACTTGTAAGTACATACAGAAAGGCAATTGATTAATTTTCAATCCTGCTCAGAGCCACTTTGTAATGGTCTCCATCAGTAGCCCAGGCTGGCATTGAACTTGTAGCAATCCTCCTGCCTCAGCCTCCCAGGTGCTAGGATTATAGATGTGTGTTATGACAACAAGCAAGATCTTCAACAAAGGTGCCAAGGTCATTCTATAAGGAAAATATTTTTGATTTTTTCTGTGTGTGTTTTTGAGACAGGGTCCCGCTATGTAGTTCAGGCTAGCCTTGAGCTCACTTTGTAGCCCAGGCCAATCTCCAACTTGCAATGATCCTCCTGCCTCAGCCTCCTAAGTGCTGGGATTACAGGTGTGCACCACCATGTCTGGCTCCAAATGATGTTTTTTGAAAAACATGAATAGCCAATTTCTCTAGATAATTATATGCCAATAAATTGGATAACCTAGAAGAAACGGATAAATTCCTAGAAAGATGTAGATAAGTAACAAGAATAGCCAACAAGTTGGGCATGATGGTGCATGCCTGTAATCCCATCACTCAGAAAGCTGAGGCAGGAGGATCCCCATAAATTCAAGGCCAGTCTGAGCTACATAGTGAGACCCCGTTAAAAAAAAATAGCCAACAAGTATCATATAAAAAAGTTCTCAACATCATTAATTAGAGAAATGCAAAGCAAAGCCACAGTAAGATATATCATTAAGATGGCTACCATAAAAAAAAAAAAAAGTATCCTTAAGAACATGGAGAAATTGGAACTCTTGTGAATTCAAAGCAAGATCTCAAAGAGATATACACTTACATTCATAGTAGCACTACTCACAATAGCAAAGAGGTGTGAGCAACCTAAATGCCCACTGGTGGATGGACACACAAAGTGTGACACGCACAGTGGGGTGATTGTCTTGAAAAGGAAGGAAATCCTGTGGCTCACTCTATAGATGAATCTTGAGAATATTATGCTGAGTTAATTGAACCAATCACAAAAAAGACAAACACTGTATAACTCCATTTATAGGAGTATTTGAAAGCAGATTAATGGAGACAGACAGTAGAATGGTTGTTTCCAAGGGCTGAGGGCAGAAAGGGAGCAGGACATCTTAATGCAGACAGAGCTGTTGGGAAGGGTACAGTGAACTGGGCACTGGGAATACTAAAAAGAACATAAATTGATATTCTGTAAGACACTCTGCAATAAACATATTTAACATATATTAACAGATTTTCCATAAACATTTTTTTAAAATATTTTAAAATCTCACTTTAAAAAGTTATGTCCTCTGACCCTCACAATTTCCCTTTTAGAAATATATCACAAAAAAACATTTTGATGGACAGACAAAAACATGCTTCAGAAATGTTCAGTGCAGGGGCTGGGGATTTAGCTCAGTGGCACAGCGCCTGCCTGGCAAGCGCAAGGTCGTGAGTTTGATTCCTGGTACCGGAAAAAAAAAAAAAAAATGTTCAGTGCAGGACTGTTTATGGTCATGACCAAAAATCCAGACTATCTCAGACTGGGGATTGAGAAAAGGTTTACACACACTGGACTGCCCAGTACCGATCCAGTGATGTAGCTATTGGTGCTAGAAAGCATCCTGGATATATTGGTAAATTAGGAAAACAAGTTACAAGGCAGTTGGGGTGTGTGTATTTTTACAGGAAAAAGTGTAGAAAGATTCGTATTAAGGAGTGAAAATTACGGGATATTGGAATTGGGGCTCATAACTTTTTTCCTAATTTTTCTACAGTAACACATATGCTATTATCTGCACAAGTATTAAACAGTGGGTAAAATAAAACTCAACATTTCCCTATTTTACAGCACAGTCTGGCCTGCTTCTCAGCTGGGATCAGAAAATTTCTGTACAAAACACAGCCAAGTTGTGATAAACTTTTCAAGTGTGTATTGTGTACTGAAGGAAGAAGTCAAAATAGAACCGATCTCCTTCCCGAGCTATTTCCTTAGGTTCTATCCTGGAAGCCAAAGCACTGACAGAGCCTTCTTTGGTTAGAAGAAAGCAGAGAAATGATCGTTTTGTTTTCAGAGGAACAGCTGGAGTAAAGGAACGAACACATATTACTTAAGTTCAAATCCAAACCAAGCTCCTCTGTGTGCACAGAACATAATTTTGAGCACACACCTTCTGATTTAGAGCAGTTTTAGCTACAAACTTCTTAGAACAGTGATTGGGATTTTTAACTGTACAATGAATGCCATTATTAGGTATTTGGGAGCATGGAAAGGGCTCCATAAAGATAACAGTTTTCTATCATACTTAATTTTTTAAAAGCATACTTCATTCCCTACTTCTAGGGACAGAAGCAGAGCGACAGACCTAAGTAAGAAGACACCCAAGCACCAGATGAACAATGGCTTCTTGGCACAAAATGACAGGGACACAGGTTCAAGTGCTCCGGGTCACCGCACACAGAGATGTCATGGTCACAGTGGCAATCAGTCATCTATCAAACTGCACAAAGGCACTTCGGGAACGAGTAGGGATGTACGAGCTCCCCGGCTGGTACAACACTGTCAAGAAAGCGTTCCGAGGGAAGGAAGCATCAGCATGAGCATGTGGCGATGTCTCCTTGGGTCTGCCCGACAAACGCACTCAAACTGATGTTGGGGCGGCACCTGAGTACTCCTACCAGTGGGTGTCTTAGCCACTTTCTCATTGCTGAGACACAATGCCTGCCACCCGGAACTTCGAGGAGGAGAGGTTTACTTTGGCTCATGTTTAAAGCTGTTCACATCACGGCAAGCCAGGAAGCCAAGAGAGAAGGGAGGACCGGGAAGGGAGGTACCCATCCAGGTCACACCCCTGGGGACTCTTCTGACCAGACCCTACTTCCTACCAGCAAGTCAGCTACATCGCCCCCAGGGTTCAGTCACTTCCAAAAGCCCCACTTCTGAACACAGGAGGCCTTTGGGATCTGTAACAGTGGGAGAAAAGAAAACTTAGAGCAAATAGGCAGAGAGGAGCATAATTCAGAACCACATGCTGGGAGATGGAGAATTACAGCAAAAAGCAGGAAGCGAGTGTAGAATAAAGGAGGAAGTGGAGCCCAGGACTTAGGCATTCCATTTTGCCTCAAGACAGGTTCCTTCCATCTGAAAAGCCTCAGCTTCAACCACACAGCTCTGTTTAAGGCTGACAGAGCATCGTTCTTCCTGGCATCTCTTCTTTCGGTCCTGATTTTTTTCAATAATGAGCAGTGACCTACCTTGGTTGGGGTAACAAGGAAAAATTCCAAGGGCCAGGAAGCGTCAGCAGCTGGCATGAGCTCTTAGCGGCACACAGGATGGAAATGAAATGCGTGCTGGTTCTTGCACCTGCTAGCAAGCATCACGGTTGTCTGCCCTTTTTCAGGACCCTCCAAGGAGGGCTCCCCACACCCACACTCAAAATACTATTCGCTGAGGGTTCTTACTCAATTCGTACAAAAATCACCAATTGGCAAAGTGTAGCTCAGATTAACAGCCCTGGGCTTTGAATGCCAGTGGCTACCAGCTCTGTTAGCGGCTGCGGCCCTCCTAGCCACCTGGAACCAGCAGCGCCCAGCCGGCTACCAGAAATGGCAGCACCTGGCTCCTCTTCACTGTTCTTCATCATTCTCTGCTGCAAAACTAGTTCCACTACCAAAGGCTGCTGCAGCCAAAGCAAATACTCCCCGGAGTTGTTGGGGGCGGGCATCTGATGCAGCTGGTTAGCTGCACGACATCTGGGACAGCTGTGGGACAAAAGTATCTTTTAAGGAACATCAAAAAAAGGCATTGGGGCTGGGGATTTAGCTCAGTGGCAAAAGCGCCTGCCTGGCAAGCGCAAGGTCGTGAGTTCGGTTCCTGGTACCGGAGAAAACAAACAAACAAACAAAAAAAGGCATCATCTTTTGAGGTCCTTCTCTCTTATCCCAGAAGAGGCCCGCAACAGTTCTGGATCTTTCCAGAATGATCCACACTCCATTTCCTTGGGTCCCCAAGCCGGCCCTTATTCCGGCTCTCCCAGGGCCCCCCGCAGAGTCGCATGTCCTGTGGCACTGAAACCTGAAGGGACAGCCGCAGGCAAAGGCCACTGGGTTCTCACCTTTTTTCCTGAGGTATTAGTGCCTTCCAGGCAACGTGCAGGTACCTTCCACACCCTGCACGCACCCCTTATGCACCCTTCATGCATCCGTGGCCACGTGCTCCCACCCACGACCTCACATCCCCAAGCCCCAATGCCAGGCAGAACCTTGGCTTTAAATGTCAGGGGCAGCCGAGCGTGGTGGCGCACACCTGTAATCCCAGCACTCAGGAGGCTGAGGCAGGAGGATCGTTACGAGTTCGAGACCAGCCTGGGCTACAAAGTGAGTTTAAGGCCGGCCTGAACTGCATAGTGAGACCCTGTCTCAAAAAGACCTAAATAAATAAATAAATAAATAAATAAATAAATAAATAAAAATAAATGTCAGGGGCAGAGCTAAGAGGCAGGAAAGCCTCTGATTGGATGAGAGCTTGCAAGCCAGCAAGGCTGCCCCTCATCTCCCTCTCCCACCCCCGCTTCTCCCTCCTCTGGGACAGCAGCCCAGAGTCCCCTCAGACACCTTTCACCATAAGGGATGGCGACCCCCCTGCGGTTCTCGGTGTGGCTCTGGTTCACCGCCATCTTGCTACAGGCGCCCTCACTGGGAGGGCGGGGCTTGTGCCACACCGCTGGGCGGGGCGTGAGGGGAGGGCAGGGATTATGGCGCAAAGGTAGGCAGCGAGTAGGCAAGGCAGCTGGTCACGTGAGAGGACACAGTCAAAGGAACAGACGGAGCCAAGGCTGGGACACGCCCCTGATGGGAAAGAGGGCTGGCCCAGAACAGTGGCTCCGCCCCCAGAACGCCAAGAGATTGAGGGGATAGGTCCGTGGTCTCCTCTGCACTGGTCCACAGCATGGAGGACCCTGCCCCAAGGTATAGGGTGGATACCTAGGGGATCATCTAGGAATGGTGGGGTGGATCATCTAGGAATGGACGTTAAAAGCAGCCATTCCCCCAGAACCTCTGCCACGAGTACCCAACGCCCCCCACTAGCTGGGCAGAAAGTTGCTGCTTTTTGGAGAAAGGGACCAGGACAATTTCTTGCTTCTGCTAAGGTTTGTTTTGTTTTGTTTTCTTTTGGGTACCGGGAATCGAACTCAGGATCTTGCGCTTGCCAGGCAGGCACTTGTGCCGCTGAGCTATATCCCCAGCCCTCTGCTAAGGTTTACACAACTTTCTTCCATCGGAGAAGGCCTGGAACCGGAGCAGATTGTCTTGTGAGATAGTATCCAGGAAAGGGAAGGGGAAGTTCAGCCGTGAGCCAGGGACAGTTCCAAGCTGAGCCTTTGTGTGACGTCCATCATACCTGCCCTGCCTCCTCTAGAAGTGATCGTGAGAATCTGGAGGAATACTTTGTACCTGCACTGCTTTGAGGACCAGAATATTGAACATATTCCTATTTCCCCCAAGCTTTACAAATAGCACAGGTCTTTAAATAAAGGGATGTTAACATCTCACTGATTACTCCATTTCATGAGTGTAAAATGCTGTTATGTATAAAATGCACTATTAATGTGCCAGTGATGGATAAAGGGCCAAACTGACACGCCATCAATTGTAACGTACCTTTATTTTAAATGCAAGAACAAACAAAATGCCATCGGAGCCGTATTGAGTCTCTATCCTTGGGTAAGAGGACTATGTTCTCTGGACTTCAGTTTCCATATCTGTGTGATGCCGCTGGACTAAGAGCTCCCAGGTTTCTTCTAGCTGTGGTACTCAACAGCCACCTCACTGCTGTCACTAACTCTCACCGCTCAGCGTCATGTTGCCCTCTCATTTTACTTGAATGGTTCCCAAGTCTCCTGGCTCATCTTCCTCCAGTTCTTTACCCCATCACTTCCCTCCGTTCATACTATACTTTGCACTTACCCCACAGAAAGCTGAAGCCCCATAACACACAACTGCATACATCTGTCACACCCACATTCAAAAAAATAATAAAGGTGTGAGAGTCAGGTTGTTTGCTGGCTATAAAGGGGAATGCACATCTCAAGATGTTTATGTTCAAGCTAATGTTTAAATTAACTCTTAAGTATTCATTGCTGTAAAATGGGCTTCTAGGTGAGAGGGGCCCACTCCTTTCCTAGACTTGGTTCTTGTTTTCAGGAGGGGAAAAGCTAGGTCGTTAATGAAAAGACAAGCATAACCTCCGTAAGGTCAGATGTGATGGCTTGTGCTCATTTGGGATCTGAAGCCCCAGGAAATAATGCCTGGGTCTGACCTCACAGTCTCACCAAGAGGGCCCCCGGCTCACCCTCCACACATGGGAGAGATGACATAATGGCTGACTCAGCCAGACAGCAAAGGGCACAAAGACGACACAGGCCAGGCAGATATTGTTCAAACAGCACTGTTTAGTTGTACAACACAGAAAGTCTAGCAACATTTACACAATCCGTTTGTGTCTGTTGGCTTGTTTTCAGTTAGGAAACAACCAGAATGTCACCAAAAGGTTGGCTGGGCCTGGTAACAGTTAAGAAATGGGTCGTTCTTGCATCCCCTAGGCTTGGGCCTCTTGTTCCATCAGGTCTTGGCTATAGATGAATGGCCCACAAGTCACCAGCCTTTGAGCAAGTTGTGTCCAGGTGGCGATGGGGTAAGGTGGCCAAAGGAGGGTTCTATAAAGACAGAGTGTGTGGGGCAGTGGCAGCCAACATTCGCAAACATTCATGCATCTGGTGGGGTCTTTGCCCTCTGTCGGGTATTTTCCATTAGCCTACAGTGACCACCTATGGCCAGGCTAATTCATTACTCACATTAACAGGGTGAGGGACGGGAGACGGGAGTAGTAGGAGTAGGTGGGGAAGGATCCCTCTTATTGCTGAGTGAACAGGAGGGTACCGTTTTTCTTCCTACAGTGTATAGCTTGTAAGTTTCTGGGATCTGGATGTGTTTAGTTCATTTTCTTATTTGAGGATAAGGAGGAAGTCAACTGTAGTGATCTCTCCTTGGGAAAACCGCTCTTGCTAAGTGGCTGCATTGTGGGGTAGGGTGGGTATGTACCAGCCACCCCTGGTGATTCTTTAAAAAGTGATCCTAACCCTTGCTCCGCCACATCTGCAGTGACCCACCCTTTTAAGTATACCTTTATGTGATGAAAGAGACACCTCTGTCCCACACAGGGAAAGAGGGCGGCTGACCTCAATGACTGGCAAGCAGAAAAGTTGCTTTTTCGGTCCTTGAAGGAAGCCAAGAGCAGCTCGTGCGGATGAGTGGGTAGGGAGCAGTGCCACATCCCTTGGAGATGGTTACAAGCAGCTGGCATGGGCCGGCAAGGGCAGAAGCAGCTCTTAGTGTGTTCCTTCTCCCTACACATGGGCTGGGACTGGCGCACACAGGCGATGGAGCAGGGCGGTGCTGGCTGGCGAGAGCTTGCCACGGGGAGGGGAGGAGTGGTTTGGCTCAATGGAGGAAGCAACTGTCCTAAGGAGGCCGCTGGCCCCTCCCACCTATGGAGGGTGGGCGGGACCAGCGCAGCACTAAGGGGCTGGGCCCTGCGGCAATATCGGCTGAGAGGAATGGAGGGAGAAGCAGCTTGAAATGGCCTTCATTCAGCAGAGGGGCAGGGGGTGGCTGGCACAGGTGGAAGGACAGTGCCCAGGAGGCCTTCTCCCTGCAGGAGGGTTGAGAACGCGTGAGGTGCGCAGACCAGCAGCCAGCAGCAGTCACATCAAGACAGCTTCTCCAGGGAGGCCGAGACCATGGTTTAGGGGTGCCAAGCATCCTTTCCCTGCTCAGGCTCTCCAACACCCACCGCCCCCACCCCTCAGTCTTCCCCTGCTGGTCCTGGGGCCCAGTCGCCCGTCTCCATATAGGACCACTCACTGTGGGAGCCAGGAGGCTCCAGCTGAAGGGCAGTAAGCTCTGCGCCCTAACACTGCTGCCGTTGTGGCCCAGCGAGAACCCACCCTGGAGTAAGGGAGGGTGAGCGTCGGAGTGGTAAACCAGCCTTCAGGAAAGACTGAGACTGTAGGACCCGGGACACTGGTGATCTGATCACCCCTCCTCTCGCTCCTGGTCCACTCAATCTTGGGTTGTGAATCTGTTTTTTTGTTCCTAGCACCTGAGTGATAAAGGACTGGGACTGTAAATGCTGGCATTCAGAGAGGACCAGTTAAACGCCTAGGTTGGACCAGGAGTTGGGATAGGAGGTTGGAGGAGTTGCTGTAAACAGTATCACTTGGTGTTTTCTCTTTCCTAAGGCTAAATTGTTTTCCCAGGCCAAAATTTCAGCAATCCTACTACAGGTTAAGGGAGAAAGAGTAATATCAGCACAATAAACAGGGAAGTCTATGCATTAATAAGTAGGCTTACAGGAAAGGCAAGAAAGGGCTAAATGTGTGATTGTGGGTGTCACCGGGAGTGTCTACAGGGGTCGGGAGGGAGAACTGGGGGAAAGCAGAGACAGACAGACAGACAGACAGACCTAAATGGAATTCGCTTCAGCATAAAAGTGAGCAAGAAAAGAAGAGGGAATCAAGTATGGATGAGACCTGGAGAGCCTCAGAGAAGCCAGCTGAGAAGAGGGAGAGGTGACCTAAGATTTGTCTCTGAAGCCAACCTCTGCCAAAGAAATATTGTACATAGTTTCTGATACTTCTTCAAAATCCATCCTTCTAGAACTTAATGCACCGTCCGCTCAGAAGGCGTCCAACCTGACCAGCACAAGTGCTCTCTTAACAGGGCCCTGGGAACTGCCCAACTCACCATGGCGCCTTCGCCTTGGCTGACCACAGGGTCAGGGCTGATTTCAGCTCTCAGCCATCAAAACTGTCTTTCCAATTCTCCATGGTGCCGATTTCTCTTATAATCTCAGTTTGCACTGTCCTGGGCTTTTCATTGTGATTTTAATTTAGGGTAGTGCAAAGTCATTTTTTGGAAGTAGACTGGACATAAATTGTGAATGCAGAAGTCAAGCTAAAAGGATTCATCTAAAAGGATGTGAAAGATGTCAGAAATGGGTAAGAGGGAGGGAAAAAGGGACACATGGAGGGAGGGAGAGAGAGAGGGAGGGAGCAAAGGGAAAAAGGATTGAAAGCAGGAAATAGAGGCAGGCAAGTGGCCAGGAAATAGAGGCAGGGTGAGCATGGAATGCGGCAATCTGAACAGTGACAGGTAGAAGCTTTTGGACAGGGACCTTAACAAAGACCAAAGGTTGGAGCTCCCCTTTCAGGCATCGATTCTGCAGGAACCCAGCGGAGATGCAGGTCTCTGCTCCCCTGGGGCTCTGAGGAAGTCCTAGCCTTAGCCCAGGTCCCCGACTCACAGGGAGGTGTTGTCAGCTCCCACCCCCACCCCAGTATAGCTCAGCGGCCTGTCCTCAGAGAATCTCTGTAGCCCCAGTTTGCGGATGGGGTGCAAGATAAGAAAGAGTCGCCTGCACCTGCAGCTCACCTGATCCCAGCATTTTTAAATAAAACCTCCCCCAGACTTCTCAGGGGAGGCGCTCAGCTTTGTTCTGGGACACGAGGAAAGGAGACAGATAGCGGACAGTCATGGAGGGAGCAGACTTACGAGGGACTTTACAGGGAGAGTAATGAAAATACCTCACCCCTGCGCAATCACACACAGGCACGCTCCCTCCCTCTCTCACACACACACACGCACACGCACGCACACCCCAAATGCACATACACATGCACACAAGGTAGACAAGATGTTCCACAATACCAGACAGGCCCGTGGGACAGAGCTGAAGGGCAGAAGGTGGCTGGAGGTGGTACTCGGGATGCGTGTGTGTGGAGAGGAGGAATGTGGATGAGGGGGTCATCATGGGTTACTGTCGTGACTTTCCTCTGTGTCCACGCTCACCGGAGGGAGGCCTCCGTTGTCATTGAGCCGCTTGGCCCTGTAAGTCTCATAGTGGATGTTGTGTGTCACTTCCTTGAGGTCCTGGAGGTGGGTCCTGAAGGACACAGGGTGAGAAGAGAGAAGGGTGAAATTAGGAGCAGGAGAGGAAGAAGTGACCCACCTCAGAGGCTGACCCGTCCCTTCAGTGGACGGGACCCACTGACTCCTGTCGGCCCTTTCACTTTAGACAGGAGGTAGAGCTGGGGCAAAAAGTTCTGTGAGAGACCCGGAGATTCAGGAGTCTGCACAGATGGTCCTGGACCCCCATAATTAAAACCTGCCCTGCGAACAAAGGGCAGGGACATCTTACCTGATGACAAAGTCTCGAAGCAGGGCAAACTCACAGTGGTTGAGGTTTTCCACTATGAACAAAAGAAAACAGTGGTCATTTCATTAATGCAACACCTAAGAAGTAAACTATTTTCGGCTCGCAGAGGCATGTAAAGAGAGCATGAGACAGGTCCTTTTGTAACCCTTCCGGAGCCTTGCTGATGTCACTGTATTTTATTCACTGAACAAATATTACACAGCTACCATGGGCATAATACTGGTCTAAACTCTGGGGAGTAACAGCTAATAAGGATTATTATTGTTCCCATTTTACAGAAGAAAAAACTAACACACAGTGAGTCTAAGAAACTTGCCAAAGCCTAAGATACAGCTCCGATCCATAAGGAATTTATAATCTGACTGGAGGAAAGTAATACACAGAGAAGATAACAATTGCACCATCTTAAAAGGTCACACCCCATATGATAAATCCAATTCAACACAGATGGGAGGGCTGGGGATGTAGCCCAGTGGGAGAGCGTTTGCCTAGCATGATGAGGCCTTGGGTTTGATCGCCAGTACCAACATCAAAACCATAAATGGAGCACCTACTATTTACAAACCACTTGTCAAGGGTTGTAGGAGTGGAAGGAAGATTAGACATGGCCCTCTGATCTCACAATGACCGTACAACAGTCTCATTAATAATCCCAAATCAAGGTAAATGATAAGAATGTGCTATTTTTAAAACCCCAACAATGGGTGGGAAGTCAAGCCAAAAAAAAAAAAAAACCCTACAGTGAGTCACAGGAAAACCAGACAATTCAAAATAATGAGTTTTGGTTTGGGAATCAAAATATCCAAGTCTGCAATCCAGATTCACCATTTACAAGTTATGTGAGCCCTTGCCTAGCACGTGTAAGATGTTGAGTTTGATCCCACTACACACACACACACACACACACACACACACACAGAGTTATGTGGCAAAGCACACACTGGAAAAGTACCTAACCTGTCTAAGACTGGAGGTTTCAGCAGCTTATATTCTGAGGAGAGGAACGCCTGCCCTGATCATATTGAATGAGATTACTGAAGTGCTTCTTTGAAAATTTTCAGAATCATCACGACCTGTCCAAGGTCACATCCATTCATAATCAAGTGGAAACGGCAACAGGCACCACTGTCTGGCATTTTTTCCCATCACACCTCCCTTAACGTGAAAACCTTTCTCTGGCTCCCCAGTCCTCGCTAATCGCTCCTGGTTCTGAACTCTTGACACAACTCAGGGCCATCTGGTCAGGTACAAATGGGTCTCACTGCTCTCTGCCTGCGAGTATCATCTTCTCAATGACACTGTAAGCTCCTTACAGGCAGAATCTGGCTGACATTCATCGTATATCACATATCCCAGGACACTGGCTTGATCTATAGATGCTTAATAAATGCTTGCTGGATAACTGATCAGCAGGCAGCTCTCCCAGAAAATGCGTTGAATTACCTTCGATGATCCCCCAGGGGGTTTTCCTGCCGAGGACCCTCTTGCCGTTCACTTGGTACTCCTTGTCACTTCCCACCACAGCAAAAGGCATGCTCTCCTGCTGGATGGGGCAGAAACACAAACCAGACACACACGCACCGTCATCTTCCTATGATCTGCACGTCCAAGGGCAGGAGAGCAAATGGTCCTGGACGTCCAGCCCTGAGCCATATGTTTCTGATGTTCACTGAGAGATACTATTGACGGCAAGAGCAAGACTCTGTCCTTTGGAAAGAGCACTGCACTGGGAATCCGGTCCTGGGTTCAACCCTGAATGAGCCACTGCCTGGCCGGCTGACCTTGGTTAAGTCAGCTTTCCTTCAACTGGAGGGCACTTTGTACATTCATTTTTTAAAAAACATTTGGAACAACTATATAAGCCAGCCAGCAGCCAGAACCTCTCATGACAGTGCCCACCCAAGCAACAGCTAGACTCACTGATATCTGACCCTGTCTCCTGTAAAAGCTATCGGCAGATGCCCACGTCTGCTGAACTCTGAGCACTAGGCCTCCTGCTCCACCAGGCAGATTGTGTGTCCGCCAAGTGCCAGCTGCTTGTTCCCATATGTATCTGCCTGATATGTACTTGTGATTGTCACTGGATAAGTGAACTAATCATGTGTCGCTCAATGACAGAGATAAGTTCTGAGAAATGTGTCACTGGGCGATTGTGTCATGCACACATCATAGTATGTACAGTACTTCCACAAACTAAGATGGTTACATCACGAGGTGATACGATTGTACGGGACCACTGTCATATGTGGTCCTTTTACAGTGGGGACATCATTATGCAGCTAATAGCTGGATTATAGAAGCTGAGGGCATATATGTGTAGAGTTTGTTTCCCTGAAAATTAAGTCAAATGTTTTATAAAGACTTCATAATGGTGAACTTTGGCAATTACAGTGGATTTTGCAGCCAGTATGATGGCACACACCTGTGATCTCAGCACTCTGAGAGCCTGAAGCAAAAGGGTCAGGGGCTAGGGATTTAGCTCAGTGGCACAGCGCCTACCTGGCAAGCACAAGGTCGTGAGTTCGATTCGTGGTACCAGAAAAGAAAACCAAAAACCAAACAAACAAAAAAAAAAAAGTAAAAGGGTCATAAGTTTGAGCCCAGCCTGGGCAACTCAGCAAGACCTTGATTCAAAATTTAAAGTTAAAAAGACCTTAAAAGAAAAAAAAGGGCAGGGGATATAGCTCAGCGGCACAGCACCTACCTGGCAAGTGTGAGGTCATGAGTTCGATTCCTGGTACCAAAAAAAAAAAAAACCTCACAAGTAGAAAAGAAAAAAAAAGATAAAATTAAAAAGACCTGAGGATGTAGCTCACCACAAAGGCCTGGGTTCAATCCCCAGTACCGAAAAAAAGCAGGGGAGTATACTTTGGACTGGGGTGGTAGCTCAGCGGCACAATGCTTGTCTAGTTCTGGCAAGACCCTGGGTTCCATCCCCAGTGTGCAACAAACATAATGAAAAAGAGTGGATTTATCCACAGAGGCCTTGACACTATACGACTGATGAATATGATGCATGTGTTTTATTTTAACATCATAAAATGCTTACTTTTAAACATTTAAGATTTGTATACATCAAAAAAAAAAGATGTGTATACATCACTTTTTAAAAAATGATTCCCTCAATTTCAATGGACTTTTTAATTAACTAAGACTAACTCCCTATCCTAACTATATCAGATCAGACAGGGCTTCCCCACCCAGTACTAGTTGGCGGGTTGGGGGGGCCTGTAGCAAGCGGGCCACACAGCAGGTGGTTGAGTGGTACGTCCAGCCACTCCCCATCGGGACCACTGCCTGAGCTCTGCCTCCTCTCAGATCACTGAGGATTCCTTTCCCATAGGAGAAAGAATCCTATTGGGACCTGCGCATGCGAGGAACCTGGGCCACATACTCCTTTAAATGGTCCCCAAACCATCTTCCATCATCATCACCACCATCACCATCGGCAATATCAGTCCCTGGTGCTAGGGGACACTTCTTGATTATCCACACTTTGACAGCAGAGGGAATTCAAGACAAATGCAGTGAGGGTACAGTGGGTTAGTCTAAGAGTCCAGACTAGGTTTCAGGCTCCTGATGTAGAATTACAGAATTGTAGAAGTTTAGGATTGAAAAGGACCCAGAAATCTCAGGCTGCTTTTTAAGCCAGGTTCCCTGGAGCTTTCCTATTCATAACAGGCATGCCAATGGCCACTGGGAAGACGGGGCTTTGTGCCACGTCACGCAGCCAAAGCAACTCTGTTTCTATGTATTGTGTGGGTCCTCTGAGGTTTGTTTGTTATTTGTGATTGGTTGTGGAGTTTGTTTTGTTTTGTTTTGTTTTAGACATCTACACTATACTGACCAGGCTGGCCTCAAAATCCTGGGCTCAGGGAGTCCTCCTGCCTCGGCCTCCTGAATAGCTGGGACTACAGGCACTTGCCATTGCACAGCACCTGTCATCACAGTGTCATTTTCTTAGATGTGTTCCTCTAGGGCAGTGGTGGCACTTCTAGGGCAGTGGTGCTCTTCTATGGCACGTGTACTGCAGCTGGCTGTTTGTTACCACTGAAAGCTCTAAAAGGTTCACCATCACTGCTCTAGGGGGAAAAATAGCTGTAAGCCAGATGGTCTAACTCCTGCATTTCATAGAAGGGGAAACTGAGGCAGCATCTGACAAGAGCACGAATTCCCCTAGGCATCAACCTGATGCTTTTCTCACCTTGGTGCCCTATCCCCACACCACACACACTTGGATTCTGCCTGCCAGGCCCCATGGGGGAAGAGGATGCTTGTGTGGGGTCTGGGGATGGAAGGGAACACCGGCTTTCTGGGTGCAGGGAGCCCTTCTGTGGGGTCGCAGCCCTAGCAAGGGCCACTGATGTCAGGCAACGTAGCACAGAGATGGAGAGGGACGGGTAGGAGAGGCACACGGACACGTCCCAGGGCACCACAGGGGGGCAAGGGAATGTCTGTGTGGTACACAGAGTCCCGGACACCCACCCTGATTTTGTCGTTCTCGGTCTTGTCCTCCAGGTCCTCATCAAACTCCTTTTGGGGGTAGAATTCAATACCATTTACTTCAAGCTCCTTGCGGACCTAGAGGCAAGAAGGAGAAGCAAAGCAGTCAAGTGTTATCGCAGAAGACAGAGGTGTGCATGATTCTGCGTGTGCGCGCGCGCATGCATATAAGTACGCTTGTGTGGGAGCTGAAGTCAGAGAGGTGATCCCGGCCTTTGATAATCCAGAGTCATCTCAACTCTGAGGGCTTGGGCAGCAGGAAGATCCTGCTGTTCACAACTACACACCCCAGCTGGAGAGGAGGGGCTCCCGGCCCACGCACAGGGCCCTCGCCGAGGTGTAGGGTTCGGACACGTGGTGCAGGTGGGTCCAGATGCCCCTGGACAGTGCTGGTGGCCTGGGTGCTACGTCCTTCTTTGCAAGGAAGAGTCAGAAGGCCCCCTACCCAAGACCTCCAGCAGCCTTCTTTCCAGGATGGCTAAAGTCTCGCCCCCTCCAGGGTGCCCCCCAGGCCTCTTCAGTGTTGTTTCATTTGTTTTCTGTTTTGTACCAGGAATTGAACACAAAGCCTTTGCACTGAGCTACATCCCCAGCCCTCCCCCTTTGTAAATTTTGAGATGGGGTCACTAAGTTCTCCAGGCTGGGCTTGAACTTGCAATCCCTCCCGCCTCCCAGAGTGCTGGGATTACAGGAGTGACCACAGCTGTATGTTTCTCAAAGGTAGCAACTGTCTTTACATTTCTCTCACATCGTCCCTCCCCTGCCCAATAGGAGAGGGCCGATCTCATAGACGCGACAGCCAGTGAGGAGAAGCAGGGGGTTAACTGTCCGGTCCTTTAAGTAAGCTGAAGTTTGAGCCATGTTCTCGGTGACCAGTGTATCCAGAGGTCGTGGCAGGCAGGTGTGGAGGGCACGAACAGGCCAGCCTCCAGCTGCACAGACCTCTTCCCTTTGGTCCCTGGGTCCCAGAGCCTCCAGCCCAGCCTCCCAAGTGGTTAAGGGGATCGGGGAGGGCGGGCAGCGGGGGTGAAGGCAGTGGTGAGAGCGAGAATTCAGCCGGACCCAGAAGGGGAGTGACCTGCTGGAGACAGGGACAGGTGCAAGGGGCTCCTCACCCTCTGCTTGAATTCGGACTTCTCCTCCAGGGTCATGGTGTCAGCCTTGGCGATGACGGGGATGATGTTCACCACCTTGCTGAGGTGCTTCATGAACTCGAGGTCCAGGGGTCGCAAGCTGGGGCCCAGAGGGGGTGGGATGGTCAGAGCCCCAGTGTGCCCCTCAGCCTCTGCCGCCTCCCCAGGGAGCCCTTGGGAGAGGACTGGGCTGGGATCTGGCTGAGGCACGAGGCTGCGCACCCCCCCACCCCGCCTCAGCGTCCGCAGATGTCCCCAAGTCTTCCACCCACACAGCCCCTCGCCCCTCTTTCTTCTGCCCTGTGAGAACCCCGCCTCTCGTTAAACCCCTCAGGCCTAAACCCTTTGCACCACCTTTTCTCACTGGGGGTTCTGGGAACATCACTGGATGGCATCCCCGCCCACACGTCCTCATGTTACAGCTACTTGTATGTGTGACGTTCTGCCCATGGAACTGTTTTTTTCCCCACAGCTCTGGGGATTGAACCCAGAGACTGTTTAGCTAAATCTCTAACCTTTTTATTATTTTGAGACAAGGTCTTGCTAAACTGCCCAGACTGGCCCCACATGTAATCCTCCTGCCTCAGCCTCCCCATTACTGGCATCACAGGCATGGACCACCATGCCCCGCTAGGGCTGTGCTTCTTGACAGGCCTCTACCCAGCCCCCTGAGCTAGTCCTGCAGGACCTAGCTGGTGGGTTTGGCCCTCCCCCAGTCTGAAGGCCTAGCCCCCTCCTGGGGTTCTGAGCCCCCAATCTGGCTCTAGTTTGCAACAGTCAGGGATTCATTAGGTGAGGGTGTCTGATGCTTCCTTCTGAGGGGTCAAAGATGAAGGAGGGCTAAAGACAACTGTGACTGAGCTCCCGAGCCCGGCCCGGTGCCCTTGGTTCACATCCTCCCTCGCTCATCACTGAACACCTGCTGAGTACCTGCCACCTCCAAAATCCAGTACCCACCTTGCCTACACCATCCTTAAGGATGGAGCTCAGGCCTGGCACTTGGCCTTAGTCATGAATCGTGAGACACATGCTTCTCTAGGAAGGTCGCTTGAGATACCAAGACCCGTGGCCTCTGCCTGTGCCCACACTTCCTAGCATGTGCCCACCTGCCACTCGCACTGAGTCCCCAGCACCTCCTGCTGTGGTCAGCCTTCATCTCTATGCCCCTGGCCCTTGCGCCCAACCACCAGCCCCTCAGCCCTGCCGCTCCCTTTCACCCTTCTTGCTTCTCCCCAAACCACCAGCCCTGTTCAGGAGCAGGTATTCATCAGACAAATGAGGTGAGGTGCCCCTGCTCCCGTATACCCAGTCCTCTCTGCTGCTCCCCTGCGCTGTGCTGGGACCCCAGGGGGCAGGAGAGGGGCTGGTGATGGCCGGCTTCCCCCTCCTGGCAAGAAAGTCAGGCTTCCCCATAGAAAGTCTAGGGCATCCCAAGGCCATGGGGCCGGGACAGTATTCCAGTCCACCTGGCCCTCGGCAGCGGAGAACAGGTACTGACTGTCCAATCCGGAACAGGTGACAGGGGACACAAACCAGAGCCACGCCCAGCAGCAGGGGAGGGGTCGGTACGCACGAGTGTCCAGTCGGAGAGATGAAGTAGAGGCAGCAGTGGACGCGTGTGTCAGGGATGCGCTTCTTTCTGGCGATGTTCACCTCCTCCTTCAAGAACTTCTCGTACTGCTCATTGATGTACTTCTCGATGGGCTCCCAGCTGAGGGGCGGGGACACATCGGGACAAGACGTGGAAGCTCTCTTAAGTGCGAACACTTGTGCCCGTCCCATCTGCGTGTCCTACCTCACCCGGTAGGTCTAGGACACCTGAGACCGAGTCTCCCTCACGCCCCCACCCAGGTATGATTTCTGAGGATGGTTAGCTAAGGTAGAACTCCCCGGGGCCCCAGCCTCTGCCTGGGTTCTAGGGACCCGCAGAGCATGGGGGATGCAGACCGTCCTCAGCGCGAATGAACCTGTTTGCCTCTTGGCAGTGTTTAGGGCGAAAATCTCAGGGGCAGACATATACCAGTTTTCATTGTTGATCTGGTCTCCAAAGCCCGGGGTGTCAATGACGGTCAGCTTCATTTTGACGCCACCTTCCTCAATCACTGGGGGAGAAACAGAAAAGGTGTTTGAGAAGTCGGCCCTCCAGGGGACTTCAGGGGGGTGGGCCCACTGGCCAGGGACACCCAGCCTCTTCTCTTCTCCAGGACCAGCGATTGGGAAAGAGCAGTTCGGGGTCTTCTCCACCTCCGCACCTTTGCTGGTGCTGCGCCTGGCTCCTGGAACACTCTCCCTACTTCTACCTCTGCTTCTGTCTCAATCCTACCCGGCGGTTTGACCTGCTCAAGCCTCACTTCTCTGCATTCTCCCACTCCCTCCCGAGACCAGCAGTCTAAGGAGTTTGCTTCATGTAATTTAATGCTGAATTCCACTCTGTCTCGAGGTTGCCTTCCATGTGTCTTATTCCCCAATAAACCTCAATTCCTCCCCCTTTCTGCCCAGGCCCCCTCTACACAAAGCCCATGGGGGCCCCCAGCTGGTCCTCACCATGCCCAATGGCTTTGATCTCCACCGTCTTGGGGATCTTCTCCTCCCGGTTCCAGCTTGCGGCCTTCCGGCTCACTTGGGATTTGAAGAGAGTGTTGACCAATGTTGACTTGCCCAATCCACTCTGGCCTGCAGCAAGGGATGGGGAGGAAGACAAGATAGGAGACCCCGCGTCCACCTCCTGAGCCTCGCGGCTCTCGCACAAACCTACACACTTCCAGGCTGTGATTCGCCTATGCCGGTCGGAGGGGCTGAGCAGAGAGTGGGTAGTGGGAGTGGCTTCCTGCTCACTGGGAAGGGAAGTCGCAGTTGGATTCTACATTCTGTCTTCCTTGGAGCCCTAGGACCATGGGGAACGGGAACCACCTCTGTCTTTAACTAAGGTGGCTTTTTTCATCTTTTGCTTAAGTTGTCTATCTTTAATACACTAAAAGAAAGAAGAAAATCACTTCGCATTCTGACAGTGTCTCATAGTGCCTAAGCACTTTCCCATCTGTTCACAAATCCATCTTTCTATCAGCCCTGTGAGTCCCACAGCAGAGCTATCTTTAGCCCCAGTTGAGAAGGCCCCAGGGAGTGTAATCCTCTTGTAACATAAAATGTGTGCAGGGCAACCTAATGGGTAAACGCAGGACCAGGGACTTGAACCTCATATAATTACGCCCAAGAAGCCCTAGTGTCTGGTTCAATACACACCAGCTAGGGCACCGTGGGGAGAGAGGGAAGCCGGGCAGGCGGAGCCACAGCACCCACTCTACCTCCTTTCACTTGGGCTCGCAGTGCACCTGTGTCCCCTGAGCAGCCTGGCGGGAGCACGAACTTCCAAGAAGAGGCCACAGCTGAGGTGGACAGAGAACCACAGGCCTCAGCTCTGCTTCGTGAGGGTTAACGTGGACAAGTCACAAGGAAAGCCTTGCAGTTGCACAGGAGCACAGCACTGCCTGGATATGTGCAGGGAGCACCCCACCCAGACCCACGACTCCAGCCTGCCGCCTGACTGGGCTTCGGGGGAATCACAGGGACAGTGAGGCCCACGGGGTGCTGCTCTGGCGCATTCTTGGAGCACAGCAGAAAGAAGGCCAGGCTGGGAGGCAAGAGCCTAGGGTTTTAGACCCAACTGTGGTGTTTACCCAGAATGCCTTTGGACTGTCACGTGGAGCCCGCAAGGCCTCAGTCTCTTTAGGACAGGAAGGCAAGACGGAGGGAACTGGGCGAGTCCAGGGATGGAGAACAAGGTGCACAGCCCAGGCCAGCTGACCAGCTGGCAGAAGCCATTCTCCTAACATGGCTACCTCTGGGCTCAGTGCTGAAATGTGCCACGAGTGATGGGCGTGTCTATCACAGGCACCCCCAGGCAGAAGTGGCCCACATGTCCTGTACAGATTGGGCACCTCTACTCTGAAAATTAAAAATCCAAAATGCTCCACAGTTGGAAACTTTTCAAGTGCTGTCATGACGCTCAAAGATATTTAGAATTTTGGAGCATTTCGGATTTTCAGATTAGGGATTTTTCAACCAGTCAAATCTATGGAGATAGTTTAAAAAAAAAAAACAAAACCCAAAATCAGAACATTTGTGGTCCCAAGCATCTTACATAACGGAAACTCAACTTGCACTTGCCACTGTTGTCCCGGCATGCTTTCTAAGGGCATTTGTTCCCTCCGTATTCTTAATGCCAAACGCCGTCCTAGGGGTGGAGGCCCAGTGGGGGAGGGCAGGTGGCGCTGATTCCCCTATAGGTCTGGGCTCAGACCCACCTGCCCCTCAAGGGGCTGTTTAGTGTAAGAAACCAAAACACAGAAGCAAAGGGTCACACTACGCTGTAACAAGCACACGGAAGCGCTAACCACAGGTGCTGGTTACATCAGCTTTGCAAAGGGAATGCAACCCGGTCTCTCCGAGTTCAAAGACATCTACGAAGCAGCAACAACTAAGCTGAAACCAGAGAGATGACTTTCAGGGAGCCGTGAGAAGCAGGAAGGGAGTTCTAGACAGAAGGAACAGCATGCGCACAGACTCAGGTAGGGGAGGGTGTGGGGAGTCGAGAACAGTTCGCGAGAAGGAGGAGAGCGCTGGGTACGCAGGGGAGGGGAGGAGTCTGAGGAGAAGCAAGAGCACCAGAGTCTAAACTCATTCTGAGGCGGAAGAAGTTACCAAAAGCCCTTTGGTAAGTGGGGAGGGGGACTTGAGCGCTGCAGGTTGGGAAGATCACTCAGGCACTCATTGGATAACGGATTAGAGGGGACAGGAGACAGAGAACCAGGAGGGCCAGTGCCACTCCAGGTGTTTCTCATGGCCTGGCTGCCAGAGTCCATGAACCATTTGCTACTGGTTCTTGTGGTCAGAGTCTTTGTTGGGTTTTTTGTTTGTTTTGTTTTGTTTTGTTTTGGAGACAGGGTCTTGCTATATAGTTCAGGCTGGCCCTGAAATCACTTTGTACCCCAGGCTGGTCTCAAACTCATAGCAATCGTCTTGCCTCAGCCTCCCAAGTGCTGGGATTACAGGCTGCGCCACCACACCCGGCTGTGGTGAGAGTTTTGTACTGGGAGGTAAATAAACCCCATGTGCCTCTGAGCACCCTGCTGAGCCAACTGACTGTTCTTATAGCCAGATGAGTCACACTCTGGCAGAGCTTCCCACCTCGCTGCAGGTCGGGGCTCTGAGCAGCACCGAGGCAGGTGGCCAGGGCTACTGGGGAGAAGCCTAGCAGCCTGGGGTGGTGGCAGCAGGCACCAAGAGAAGTGAGCGGACTCAGAAGCACTCAGAAGGGAAACGGGACAGATTTGATGACTGATTCAGTTGGAGGAAGACGAAAGAAAGAGGTGCCCAGCTCCCGGTTCACACTGAGTGAACTCAGATCTCACTGAGCTCTGCCAAAGGTTCCTGCGACATTCTGTGACCCAGTGATGGCTCTGAGTGACCAAATCCCTGATGATTCTCTTGACGCTTCCTTTTTTTCCCCCCAGTACTGGGGATTGAACCCAGGGCCTTTGCACTGACCTACATCCCCAGTCCCTCTTTATTCTTTATTTTGAGATGGGATCTCATCAAATTGCTAAATTGCCCAGGCTGAGCTTAAGCTTGCAATCCTCCTGCCTCAGCCTCCCAGAGTGCTGGGATTATAGCATGTCCCACCTGGCATCAGAGTTTTAAAGGACCACAAAGGATAGGAAATAAGGCCACCTTTCATCCAGTCCTCCCCGCTGCTCTTGGAGGTAGGGAAGGACACTGCTGATTTTCCCATGCCACAACCCTGAAAGGGAGATCAGAGTGGTGAGGAAGCTGCCCACCTACACCCAGCTGGAGGAGGAGCCAGACTAGGCACCCACCCAAAGCTCCTACTCCCTGGATCAGCCATCTTTGAGGACAGAAAAGAGTCAGGTCTTTGTGATCAGCATGACAAATCCTCCTGAAAGAGCTCATCCTAGAGAAGCCATGGCTGAGGCCATCCTGGGGAAAGAAATAGGATCCTCAGCACCGCCCGTCCCCAGGCACACCAGCGACCCCACAGCCTTCCGTACCCACGACCATGATGTTGAAGTCAAAACCAGTCTTCATGGTCTTCTTGCGCATCTGCTCGATGATGGTGTCGATGCCGACGTAGCCCAGCAGGTTGGAGTTGATGCTGACGGGCTTCATGGGCACTGCCGGCTTAGGCCTGGGCTCGGGCACCAGCTCTGACATGGCTGCGTCCGACCTGGTCTCAGGAAGCCCTGTAGAGCCAGGGTGGGAGGGGCAGGGGGAGTGGATGGGAGGACACCAGAGGTCACATGGAAGCCACAGTATTTTTCTCCCGTATGCAATACTCCACGGAGTTGGAACTCAAAGGGATTTGAACGTGACCCAGTCTGGTCCCCCGTTCCATAGGTGAAGAGACAGCCCAGAGAGGAAAGAACTTAAGAACACAGAGCAGGCCAGGTTCTCTCGCTGCTGGCCACATGCTCCAAAGCACCGTATCTGTGGGTCCAAAGCCAGGGCTCCTCCACCCCAGCACTGCTGACATCCAGATTCTTTCTTACAGAGGGTCGTCCTGTGCCTTGTAGGATATTTAGTGGCACCCCTGGTCTCTACCAGATGCCAGTGGCCCTCCAGTTGTGACAACTAAAAGTATCTCTAGACAGTACCAAATGTCCCCAGGGGCAACATCACCCCGGTGGAGAACTGCTGGTCTAAGAAACATCAGGGGTTATTTAGACCCAAGTCCAGCCCTGCCAGGGAAAGGACAGAGACACTATGGGATTCTGGGCCTAACACCTATGGACTGTCACCAGCTTCCATTGCTGTGTCCCTTACAAGCAAATGGGGCTGCCCTTCTCTGCAGAGAGCATCGTTCCTTCCCTGTACCTCAGCGTCCTCTCCGTTCCATGAGCAGCAAAGTGAGGGTGTCCATACCCAGAGGCGTCCCAAACACCTGCCTAGCCATAGATCTGCGACTGTGGGATGAGCGGGGAGGGGTGAGACCCACTGAGGGCAGTCACTTGCCTAAGATGACACAGAGTGCTCTGGGAATGTTGAACGGCGGACGAAAGGGTAGGCCGAGGAAAAGCCGAAGTCTGTCCAGCTCTGGAAGCTCGTGGGTGTTTTTACACGCAGGAGAGACCTGTGGTGCCCTCAGTAAGCCACTGCCCACCAGCATAGGTTCTACAACAGGGCGACTCCGTCTCACCACCCATAAAATAGGTGAGTGGGGTGGACTTGGGCAGCCCACCTCCCCCCAGGAGCCCGCTTCCTCCTCTGCGGAGCAGTCACTTCTGGTTAAGGCTGCCAGTGAGCACTGCCTAGGATAAAGATGTTTAGAAGCGCCGGGCATGGCACCCCACAGCCCAGACCCTCTTGCCCCTGGCCCTTCCAAGTTCTCAGGCTTACCTGGAGGGGAGGCTAAGCCCCAGGCAGCACTTGTGAAAGGGCTGGGCCCCAGAGGCTGACTTCACAAGCACATCTATTGGCCTCCAGGCTCCCTGGAGGACGCCTTCCGGCTGTGCCTTTCTAGAATCTCACAGTTCATGATCACCACCCTGCAGAGTCTCAGCCTTGCAGAGAGGCCTAGGCCTGCTGGAGCAGCAGATGGGCAGGAGGGAGAGGGGCCGGAGCTCCCGCTCCCCAACCCCCAAGGCTCACCAGGAATCTGCTCTTGTACCCCTGCCACCTGGTCCTTCCGCGGGTACTGGCAAGACCCTCTGTCCCCGGTCACTCCCAGGCACAGCCAAATCTGACAAAGCCTTGGGACCTCCCCACCGGGCCTGGCGGGGCTCCTTCTTACTTCCCAGAAAGCTGCTGCCAGCCAGGCGGCTCCAGAGGGCAGCAAGATTGGCTCAGGCCTGCAGCAGCTGACTCTCAGCAGCCTGGCTCCTCCACTCACACACGTGGCTCCCGGCCCCCACCTGCACCGAGGGCCTGTGCCCCATTTCTCCTGGCCAGCTGCTCCCACAGCCGGGCCCTCTCCATTGCTCTTGGCTGAGCCCACTTGGTCTCTACGCCCTGAACTGTGAAACACATCCACCTGGGGCTGGGGGAGGTCCTAATCCCACTTTACAGGTCTGAAGAGTTAGCCTTGTTGGGGGTGGGGGTGTCCTTATAAAGCATGTGTCCTCACCACAGCCTTCTCAGGCCTGGCCTGCCACCTGCAGCATCCCGAAAAAGCACCTTCTCCCAAAAGACAGACCTGGATTGAGAAAGGGCCCTACCAGACTCCCAAAGAGGTTCTAGGGGCTCCGGTAGTCCCATGCGGGAGAAGCTGTGGGCAGATCTCATTTATTCTTTTAACGAACACCCATTAAAAGTACCCATTGTGTGCATGACACAGAGAACCTGCTGGTAAGCCGGGCCCCTCCCGACACATGCCAATTACATGCCAGTCAGAGGCTAACATCCGCTGATCAAGTACTGCAAGCATGCTGCGGGCCACTGGGCCACAAGATTTGCTAGAGGACGCTGTGCCCCCTCCAGCTCCTGGCTAACCCCTAGCTGCGCTCCTGTCTGGTGCAGATGTCCCTCCTCTGTGAGGCCTTTACCCCTGGTACCCACTAGACTCATCCATTCATTCATTCATTCATTCCCACCCAGGGCATTTCATGTGCTGTCAAACGCAGGCCTAATCTAGCCAAGCCCTACACTAACTGCCAAAGATACTTTTGTATCTCAAACAAGGTCACTGCCCCCTCCCCCAGGGCCACTGTCCGGTGAGGGAGCCTAACAAGTACACCAAGACCTCCAGGGCACAGAACAAATGCTGTTCTGGAGTTGAATTCTGTGGCTCCATCCACTGTCCCTACATAGACCCCCGGTGGGCAGCTGACCCAGGCTTGAATCCTGTGGGCCTGCTTTCTCCTCAGAAAAAAATGAGGACGGTCTCTACCCTGCTCGGTGGCTGTACCACTTATCCACAGTCATGGGCATGATTCAGTGCCCAGCAGGCAGTACCCAGCACTGAATACGTGCTGGTTTCCACCCCTCTTCAGGGCAGGGGCTGTGGCTCACTGACCTCTGTGGCCCATGTACCCAGCATACTCCAGGCACTCAGCGACGAATGAGTGCTGAACGGATGAAACCCCAAGCAAGGCGAGTGTCACTTCAAACCATCACCTGCGTCTTCCCTCAGATGCCAGCTCTGTACACAGCAGCTGACCCCCAGCCGGCAAATGGCTGTGGTGTGGGCCACAGTTAAAGGATACAGAGCTCCTCCCCGCTGCAACTGATATTGGAGGGGGACCCCTAGAGTGGGAAGAGTTCAGGGTGGGGGTGACAGCAGGATGCCCCTCAAATATGCCACCCAGGCTGCATGGTCCCCAGGGCCCCTCCTACACTCACAGCTCCCCAGAGCCCCTGGAGAGGAGGGGATCTGCCTGCAGACCCCCTGCCAGGAGCCACTTGCCCCATCAGTGGCCAGGGGACAGGTACTGTCCACCTGACACAGCGCTGGGCCTACATGAACAGAGTCCTTCGTCCCCAGGGCAAGTGGGGATGCTGGTACTTTCTCACACAGACAGATGGCTTTGTCTTTGTCCAGCCCAGGACCCCACCCCTCTGTTGGGAAGGCAGGAGTAGGAGAGGACCTTTCCAGAATAGCGCTTGCCTCCCCTTAGAGCTGGACCCTTTCCCTTCCCCCCTAACGGAGGAGTCTCCCAAGCGGATGGGTTCCCATCAGCCTTCAAGACCCCACCCCCGCCGGAGAGGAAACTGTAGGCCACCCCAGCCCCAGTCCTGGGAGCGTGGAAAAGGAATCGCAATAGTATGTTCGCCTTGCCCCATTCGCAGGAGCGAAGGGCCCCCATCCCAGTCCTCCCGAGGTCAGCCAGTTCCCTGGGAGACCACCGGCTGGTGGCTGTCTGTGTGGGGGAAGGGGGCTGGTGTGTCAGCCAGCGCGCGCGCGCGGGGCTCATCCGCCGTAGGTGGCCTTGGTACCTGCGCGCGGGGTGCGTGCGCGCGTGTCTTGTGCTCCAGCATGGGGCTCTCCGCTCCCCGCGTTCCCGTGTGCGCCTTCTTGCAAGACTGCCAATGCCGAGGTGTATGCCACCGTGCGTGCGTGTCCGGGCATATGTCACCGCGCGTGGGCTCCTCGGCGCCGCACCCTCCCCCTGGTCGCACCCCCGGCCGCGCTTGGGGGACCGCAGCCTCCTCCGCTGGGCGCCCTACCTTTGGACATGAATCCTCCTTTGTCTCCGTTCCTCCGGGAGATGCTCAGGGCGCGGGGCTGCAAGGCTGAGCGGGGCGCAGGCTCCCCCGGGCCGAGCGGCCCCTACAGCCGGGCCTCGCCCCTCCGCGCTCTCCGCCCCG